GCTCTCAGGTACGGGGATCGATAGAGGCACTACAAGCGGAGGTCTCCTCTCTGCTGAGTCGAGGCGCAGCAGTGGAGGTAGACCCGCAGGACGCCACCAGGGGGCTGTACTCCCCTTACTTCTTAGTGCCAAAGAAGTCAGGCGGGGTGCGTCCCATTCTGGATCTGCGCGTGTTAAACGAGTGCATTTCCAAACGGCAGTTTCGGATGCTGTCCACAAGGCAGCTCCTCGAGTGTGTCAAGGAGGGAGACTGGATGACATCCATAGACCTGACAGAGGCGTACTTCCACGTGCCGATAGTGCCGGAACACAGGAGGTTTCTGCGCTTCGCAGTGGGAGAGAGGAATTACGAGTACTGCAGTCTACCCTTCGGGTACGCACTCGCGCCTCGGACTTTTTCCAAATGTGTGGAAGCAGCTCTGGAGCCGCTCAGACGTGCGGGGGTAAGAATATTAACCTATATAGACGACTGGGTCCTGTCCCACATACAGCGCCTGGGCTTTGTGGTGAACAGGGAGAAGAGCAAGCTGCAGCCAGCCCAACGCATGATTTATCTCGGCCTGCAGCTAGACTCTGTGACATTCCGTGCTGCATTGTCCGTGGACAGACGGATGAATATTACCCGTCTGGCCCGGGAGGTTCTGGCGGGCCCCAGAGTCCCCGCTCGGTGCCTCAGGTCCCTGCTGGGAATGATGGCGGCGGCTCATGCTGTGGTGCGGCTAGGCCTGCTCCACATGAGACATTTTCAGAGGTGGTTCTCGCGCCTCAGGCTTCACCCCTCCCGGGACGGGGGGAGGTTGATCTGGGTTCCCCAAGTGGCAGCTTCGGACATCAGGTTCTGGCTCACTCCGGGTCTATTGCGGGACGGAGTGACTCTAGCCTGCGCCGTGTCTCACGTGGAGATGTTCACGGACGCGTCGCTCGAAGGATGGGGCGGGGTCCTCGGCCAGAGCTCTGTAGGAGGCTGCTGGTCGGACTCAACCCGTCACATCAACCTGCTGGAGATGGAGGCAGTACACAGAGTACTGCTGCACTTTGCTCCTCAGCTGCAGGGGAGACACGTGATGGTTCGCTCAGACAACACCACAGTGGTCTCCTATCTGAACAGGCAGGGGGGCACCAGGTCCCCCGCTCTCCATCGCATGGCGACAGTGACGCTGCTGTGGGCGGCGCTTCACCTCCTGTCTCTCAGGGCGCGCCACGTCCCGGGGGTCCGGAACGTGGGGGCCGACAGGATGTCCAGGGGGGGCCCGCTCCAGGACAAGTGGGGCCTGGCCCCGCGGGTAGCTGCGGAGATCTGGCGGAGGTTCGGCCGTCCAGCGGTCGACCTTTTCGCCAGTGCAGAGAACGCACAGTGCCCGTCCTGGTTCGCCTTAAGGGCCGCGGACGAGCCGCCCTTAGGCGTGGACGCTCTGGCTCATTACCCCTGGCCAGGCGGCCTGCTGTACGCTTTCCCACCGGTGCGTCTCCTGCCGGTCCTGCTGCGGAGGATCGAACAGGAGAGGAGGTCGGTGATCCTGGTGGCTCCGGACAGTCCGCATGCCCGGTGGTTCCCCTTCCTGAGGGGCATGGCGGTGATGGAGCCCTGGGCCCTCCCGGACGAGCCGGGGGCTCTAGTCCAGGGGGGAGGAGCCCTGTTTTCACGCCCGATAATCGGCCGCAGGCTCCGGGTTTGGAGGCTGAGAGGCGGAGCCTCGTAGACCTGGGTCTTCCCCCTGCGGTGGTGGAGACCATTCAGGGAGCGAGGGCGCCGTCCACTGTGAGGGCCTACGCCACGAGGTGGAGGCTATTCAGTGTCTGGTGCAATTCCCGTTCCTGGGATCCCAGGTGTTGCCCGCTGGAGGGGGTCCTGGGATTCCTACAGGAGCTCTTCGACAAGGGGAGGGCTGTCGCTACCTTGGCGGTGTTCGCGGCAGCCATTACTTCGGGTCACGACGGATTCGGGGGGTTCACAGCCCGTTCTCATCCGTTGGTTAAACGTTTTCTGCGGGGGGGCGCAGGAGGAGGCCCCCGCTCCAGAGAACGCCTCCGATTTGGGACCTCAGGGTGGTCCTTAGGGGGCTGTCGGGTCCGCGTTTTGAACCGGCGGCGGAGGCAAGTCCCGAGTGTATCGCCTTTAAGACGGCCCTCTTGCTGGCGTTGGCGTCTGCTAAGAGGGCGGGCGATTTGTGTGCGCTCTCCGTCCATGCGTCTTGCCTGTCCTTTGGAGAGGACGACGGCATGGTGGAATTGTGGCCCAATCCGGCTTTTCTCCCCAAGGTCATCACGTCGGCCTTTAGGTCGAGAGTCATCAGGATTAGGGCTTTCCATCCGCCGCCGCATGCCTCCCCCGAGGAGGAGCGGCAGCACCTTCTGTGTCCTGTCAGAATGCTGAGGCATTACCTGGCCATGACTTCGTCATTCAGGTTGGGTGGTCAGCTGTTTGTGTGTCGGGGCCCCAAGAACAGGGGCGCCCCGCTGTCGGCTCAGCGGCTGGCGCATTGGGTCGCCACGGCTGTGCGGCGGGCGTATCAATCGCAGGGTCTGGCCCCCCCGGTGGGTTTCAGGTCGCATTCCACGCGTGGGATGGCGGCCTCTACGGCCCTTCTCAGGGGGGCGTCGGTCGAGGACGTCTGCCGTGCGGCTTCTTGGGCGTCGTCCTCCTCTTTCGTCCGGTCTTATCTTTCGGATGTGTCGGACCGGTCGGTGGCCCATTCCGTGCTGAGTGCAGCGGACTGAGTTAGACCGTTGGGTCCCTCCTCTGAGGGGGCCTTCGGTTTATTTCCGCCCTGGTGCAGGAGCTCTTGGGAGAGGCATCCTACAGGTGCGGTACATTTTTGTGTGTTTGGTCGGTCTGGTAGTCCACGTCATGACCTACGGCTTGTGTTACGTGGGGGTATCCTTGGTAGGAGTGGCCCCGTAACACGCTTGTTTCTTCTGCCCTGAGTCCTCTCACGGTGTGAGGGCCTTGCTCGGGCGGAGCTCCAATCACCCTTCGCTGGCCTGCTGGGAGTACATTTTCCTACGGCCTCCGCGTTGTGTCCCACTAGCGAAGTCCTAAGGGACATAGCACCATGACGTAGAATTAATAGTTACTTAATGTAACTTAAGTTCTACGAATAGGTGCGTAGTCCCTTAGCTACGAGCCCATCAGGCCAGCCCGGGCTTGGCAGAGTTCAAGAGGGGGTGCGGCCTTGTGCAGGGGCATTTATAGAGGAAGGTGGCTGGTGATTGGAGCAAATCTCTCCCTGCGGTCGCCAAGACCGCCCTGTCGACCCCAGTTCACCCTTCCTCCCCCTTAGTCTGTTTACAAAACCCTTTTTCTCCCATTCGTCCCGGCCCCCAGTGTCATATTATCCATAAGTTAAAATCAGTGGAAGCTGCCACAGGTCTTGAGGATAAAAAATCCGGAAGTAAAAACACCAGTGGGCACACAAAACAACATTTCAACATCAAACGAATGCCATACCAACCAGTGCGCAGTGCGTACCCCTCCACCCCACCCCCCCACCCCCCCCCCCCCCCCCCCCACCCCCCCCCCCCCCCCCCACCCCCCCCCCCCCCCCACCCCCCTCCCCCCCCCCCCCCCCCCCCAATTATAATATATTTATTATTCTGGACATACTCCCCATTATTCTTATAGTGCCAACGAAGTCAGGGGGGTGCGTCCCATTCTGGTCTGCGCGTGTTGAACGAGTGCATTTCACACGGCAGTTTCGGCTGCTGTCCACAAGCAGCTCCTCGAGTTTGTCAGGCAGGGAGGACTGGATGACATCCATAGACCTGACAGATGCCGTACTTCACGTTGGTCCCTTGTGCCGGAAACGTGAGGTTTCTGCGCATCGCCAGTGGGAGAGAGGATTTACGTAGTACCGGCGTCTCCCCTTTGTTATGCACTCGCGCTCGGACTTTTTCCAAATGCGTGGAGGCGCACTGGAGCCGCTCAGACTCGCAGGGGTAGAATTTTAACCTACATAGACGCATCGGTTTCTGGCTCACTCCGGGTCACTTGCGGGCCGGAGGTGACTCGGCCTTGGCCGCCGTGTCTCACGACGAGGTGTTCACGGACGCGTCGCTCGAGGGATGGGGCGGGGTCTCGGCCAGAGCTCTGTAGGAGGCTGTGGCTTGGACTCAGCTCCGTCTCATTCACCTGCTGAGATGGAGCAGTGCACAGGTTTACTGTAGGAAGTGCGACCAGGCTGGCCACATAGCTAGGTTCTGCAGAAATATAAACTCTCCCAACACGCCGCCTTTAAACTAATTCCTCCTGCTGCTGAGGCCCAAGCAGTAGGGACTGCCTCACAGGCTGACCACCAGGGGGCCACCTCGCAGTTTGTTGGTAGATGCCCGACCATTGAAGTATCTGTTGGTGGAGTCAAAATGACAGCTTTATTAGACACTGGTTCACAAGTCACTTTAATACAACAGAAAGTTATGCACCAGCACTTTTCAGATGTAGAAAAAGGCTCGGCCCCCTTGGTTTTAACACTTAAAGCTGCAAATGGCCTCACAATACCATACTCTGGCTATGCAATAATGAACTTTGAAATAGAGGGTGTTAAAATCCCAGACAAGGGTGTTGTCATCGTTAAAGATGATTGCTCCACTCATCCACTGTTAATTGGGATGAATGTTATTGGTGCCTGTTGGGATGCTGTTTTTAAACCGGGAGATGCAGTTGTTAATCCCCAGAAGTGGCAGTCTCAGAGACCGTGGCGGGAGGCATTTGCTGTGTGTCGGAGAACCATTGCCACCACCCCAGAGGATGGGTTCATGGGCTATGTGCGTCCTGCCGCCCGGCAGTCAGTTTGGGTACCTCCTAAGAGTGAACTTATTGTGTGGGGTCGCACCTGTACTGGGCCGGGTGGGAAAGATTACTCTGCTGTACTGGAGGCTATGCCCGACGCAGATTCTTGTCTGATGAAGGGTAGTGACCCGAAACGTCACATCTTGTGGTGATAACATTAAAAAAAACTCTTGGGAGCTAAAAGCTGTGCAGAGTCATCTCCTTTTCTTTTCATATGCCCGACGCAGAGGCATGGGGAGTAGCCAGAACCCTTGGCGTGGTTAAAAATGGGCTTGTCCCCGTTCGCGTCTGCAACCCCCACCCTTACCCAGTTTTGATAGGGCGCTATCAAAACCTGGGCAAGTTATACCAGGTGGAGGAGGCTGACGTCCAGGGAGCCCGTGACCTGAGCCTGACCATGGGTCCAGATGGTGTTGTGGAAGTTGGCATGGTGGACACCCGGAGCCCAGAGAGAAACCCAAACGAGGAGGTGAGCAAACTCATTGATTCAACATGCTTAACGCCACAACAGCAGTCCGAGCTCCGCTCACTCCTGGAGAAGTGGATGAAGGTTTTTGCGTCAGATGAGGATTTCGGGAGGACTGACCTGGTCCAACATCGCATCCATACTGGAGAAGCCCCATGTTGTCTTGGAGTTATTGGGAGGTACTGGGTTGGTCTCTAACAGGGGTCGGGAACCCAAAATGTTCAAAGAGCCATAATTGACAAAAAAAACTAAAAACAACATCTGTCTGGAGCCGCAAAAAAATAACAGCCTTGTATGAGGCTTTTATGAAGGTAACACAGGCTGCAAGATGTATTAGCTATATTAGCCTAATATCTAAATGACAAAGTAAAGGCTACAAATACATAATAATCATTGATGATTATCAAATGTGTATTTTCACTGCAGCGTGTCGCACCCAGTGATGGGAATAACGGCGTTACTAGTAACGCCGTTACTAACGCCGTTACTTTTTTCAGTAACGAGTAATCTAACTAATTACTTTGAGTGTAACTATAACGCCGTTATCATTTCCGACATCCCGTTACAGCGCGTTACTAAAGACGCACAATGAACTTATCTTTTTACTTCATGATAGGACTCGTGCGCGTGTTGTCATGAGAGAAGGGAGGATGAGAAAACCTCTCAGCAATTATTGGCTGATGTAAAACATCAAAAAACAACAAACAACAACATTGTAACATTTCCTTTACAATCCACATGTCTACAGTTGAGAGGATGGTCATAAATTGTGTTTTTGAAACAAATATGGGTCTTAATCGCGCTCAACCACGGCTTGTATCACCGTGAGGTCAGCCACAGAGGAGCACATGTGAGCGCAGAAGTCGGCTGCATACAATTCCATCTGAAAGCTCCTTTCTCTTACTGGTTTATCTGCTAAGGGCTGCAAAAAGTTTGGCTAACATACATATAACACATTTTAAGATAATTTAAAATGCACTTACGGTAATTTTTCAATGACTATAGGAATGATAAGAAAGACAGGTGAAGTGTAAGACGGTTGATTTTAGAAATTGGATGCAGCCGGCTGCAGCAAAACAGAGTAGTTTACGGAGGACACACGCGTTTTGTTTTACTTTTTAAAACTCATTTCCAAATGGAGGATTACATATCTACGCTCAAACTATTATCTGGACTTAAACACAGAACTGGTCTGAACTGAAGTGGTCTGTGCAGGTCATTTATAAGGTAAGACCCATAACTCATAGTTTTGCGTTTTGTATGAACAAACAATGCGGCCATGAAACATATTTTGCTGTAGCCAAACAAATTGTCCACTTGATTTATATGATAAATATGTTCATCTGATTGGGCTGAAGTCAGTGCTTCACCGGTGTTTCCACATTCACAGTGGCGGGTGTTTATGTTTAGTGCTTACAGCACAGAGAGAGATGAAGAGTGAACAGGACTTCAGCAGCAAAACAGACTTTTCTAGATGGAAATATTGGCACTATTTCAGACTCACTGAGGTTAAAGGTAAAAATGCGCACGTCGAGTGCACATTATGTTCCAGAACAAAACGAAAAAGTAACGCAATAGTTACTTTTACTGGTAACTAGTTACTTTTATAGTGGAGTAACTCCGTTAGTAACTCAGTTACTTTTTGGGAGAAGTAACTCGTAACTATAACTAATTACTTTTTCAAAGTAACGTGCCCAACACTGGTCGCACCACGCGTGTCGTGAATGACGCAACACGTGACGACTCTGCTTTAGTTTAACTTCCATTTTTTTGCCTTCATGCAATTGTAGAAATACAGAAAAATCAATCTGCTTTGGGCTCAGAGGTCACATACCGGCATCACTGTCTGCTCATATCCATCACGTCACAGGCTGAAGTTTGCTGGAGCTGAATTAAAATCCTTAATGGCCTTTTCTTTCACAGTCTTTGAGAAGGTTTTGAAGTCTGAAAATAGGTGCTCTGAATTTTTGATGAATGAATCCTTCACGTAATCACCGTTTACGGTGTTTTGCCTGTCATTGTTCCTCGTGTTGCCACAAAACTTCTCATTACAAACATGCAGCCAGCGTAAGTTCAATTTGGTAGACGTCAGCCAAAGGTAACCCCTCCAGGCCGGTTCTCATCCCCAGCCTATCGCACGGCAAACGCCCCCTTCCAATCACCGGTCCAGCCAGGCAAGCTGCTTAAAAGCGGAGGAACTCCCATTCTCGGCCTCTTGAAGCCTGCAGCAAAGAGCGAAGCCTTGCAAAGAGTCGTTCTGGAGGAATCGCTTTGTTCTACTCTCACTTACTTCGTGCGTGTCCCTGCTGTCCTCTGTCCTGCTGCGTGTCGTCTGCTCCTCCTCCGCGTCGCTGCACCTGCTGCGGGTCTCGTGCTGTGGTCCGTGGGTCTTTGCCGCTCTCCTCCTTTGCGGGCTCTTTCTGCGGGTTCGCCGCTGCTCGTCTCGTCGCGGCCTGCTGCTGCATACGGCCGGTCTGGCCCGGTGCGGTGGGAGCCGTGCGCATCCCTGCCTCCTCGTGCCATACGGTGTGGTCCCGTCGTGTTGTCCCTTGTCTTCTGGCGTTGCGGGTAAGTATGAGATCTGCGGACGGTTTATTCCCCTCGCTTTGTCCTGCAGGCTCAGTTGGCCCCGCGCTTGTTATGCAGGCTCAGTTGGCCCCGTGCATTGGTGGGCAAGCATCAGTTTAAAGCCCTCGCATTGGTCTGCAGGCTCTCTTTAACCAAGCTCCGTTTAAATCCTTCACTCTGACTGCAAGCTCCGTTTAATCCCTCAAATTGGACTGCGAGCTCTCAGTTAATCCCTCACGGAACTGCTTATATCTGGAACTGCTTACGTATTATGGAACTGCTTACGTATTGTGGAACTGCTTAGGTATTATGGAACTGCTTATGTATTACGGAACTGCTTATGTATTATGGAACTGCTTTTATGGAACTGCTCATATTGGGACTGCTCATACCTGGAACTGATTATATGGTACTGCTTATACCTGGAACCGCTTATACAGTGCATGGAACTGCATATATTGGTTCTGCTTATATCTGGACCTGCTTATATATGGATCTGCTTATATATGGATCTGCTTATATACGGAACTGCTTATACATGGATCTGCTAATATATATGGAACTGCCAATATATGGAACTGCTAATATATGGAACTGCTAATATATGGATCTGCTAATATATGGATCTGCTAATATATGGAACTGCTAATATATGGATCTGCTAATATATGGAACTGCTAATATATGGAACTGCTAATATATGGAACTGCTAATATATGGAACTGCTAATATATTGGAACTGCTCATATTGGAACTGCTCATATTGGAACTGCTCATATTGGAACTGCTCATACCGGAACTGCTCATATTGGAACTGCTCATATTGGAACTGCTCATGCAGTATATGGAACTGCATATATTGGTACTGCTTATATCTGGAACCGTATATATATGGAACTGCTTATATATGGAACTGCTTATATATGGAACTGCTTATATATGGAACTGCTTGTATATGGAACTGCTTGTATATGGAACTGCTTGTATATGGAACTGCTTGTATATGGAACTGCTTGTATATGGAACTGCTTGTATATGGAACTGCTTGTATATGGAACTGCTTATAGATGGAACTGCTTGTATATGGAACTGCTTATATCTGGCTCCGTCTCCTCCCTCAACGACGCTGTCTGCCCGGACGCGGGGTGCCGCTCCGACCTGGCGTTCGGGTCCCGTCTGCTGAGCCGCTGGGACGGTGTATTTTTCTTTACAGTGACGTCATCCCGTCCTCAGATGCCCTGCGGTTCTTCACGGACGCAGCCCCGTCCGTGGGTTTTGGGGGTCTCTTCCAGGTCCAGTGGTTCGCCGGGCCCTGGCCCGACGCCTTCCCTCAAAGCATCTCCTCCGCGCTCCCGATAACCTTCCAATGTCATCCGTCTGTTTCAGAGCCCAACTCAAGTCCGTACTGCTGCTTGTAACCTGTCTCCCCATCTCTACACAGCCCACTCCTTCGGATAGGCGCCGCCACGCGCGCCGCGTCCCTTGGGCTCCCCTATTCCGCCCTCCAGCAGCTGGGCCGCTGGTCATCATCGGCCCTCTCCTCATACATCAGGCCTGACACTTCGACCATCCTGGCAGCCCAGCGCCTCTTTGCATCTCCATAAAACACTTGCAAAAAAGCTGAGTTCCGCAAGCTGGTCCAGCGCGAGTATCCGCAAGCATGGTCGCAGCAGCTGAGTATCCGCAAGCAATGGTCGCAGCAGCTGAGTATCCGCAAGCAATGGTCGCAGCAGCTGAGTATCCGCAAGCAATGGTCGCCCGCAGAGACTGTTCGGCAGAGACTGTTCGGCAGAGACTGTTCGGCAGAGACTGTTCGGCAGAGACTGTTCGGCAGAGACTGTTCGGCAGAGACTGTTCGGCAGAGACTGTTCGGCAGAGACTGCTCGGCAGAGACTGCTCGGCAGAGACTGCTCGGCAGAGACTGCTCGGATGAGGATCCGCAAGTTTGGTCACAATAGATAGCGGTCACAGCATATAGTGATAGCGGTCACAGTATATAGCAAAAAATGGTTAGCGGTCACAGTATATAGCAAAAAATGGTTAGCGGTCACAGTATATAGCAAAAAATGGTTAGCGGTCACAGTATATAGCAAAAAATGGTTAGCGGTCACAGTATATAGCAAAAAATGGTTAGCGCGCGATGGTCGCGACTCGTCAGCATATAGCGATAGCGGTCACAGTATATAGCGATAGCGGTCACAGTATATAGCGATAGCGGTCACAGTATATAGCGATAGCGGTCACAGTATATAGCGATAGCGGTCACAGCATATAGCGATAGCGGTCACAGCATAGAGTAGTCTCGACGTCTGTCCCCTTCAAACCAGGCTGCAAAACTCCATCAACTCACAACCTTTTTGGGGATTGGCACGCTCCATCGCAGAGCCCCTCCGATCTGAAGGCCGCACCGGGGCCTAGGGCGCCAAACCTCCTCCCAATAAATACTCAAAAGCTTCTTGTTTCACGTCTCTCCAAATTGAAATGCAGCCAGCGTAAGTTCAATTTGGTAGACGTCAGCCAAAGGTAACCCCTCCAGGCCGGTTCTCATCCCCAGCCTATCGCACGGCAAACGCCCCCTTCCAATCACCGGTCCAGCCAGGCAAGCTGCTTAAAAGCGGAGGAACTCCCATTCTCGGCCTCTTGAAGCCTGCAGCCACCGCCTCCCCTCCTGCTCCTCTTCACCCTGCTTCATTCTGCCTTCAATCTGCTTCCCGCTGCCAAATGCCGCCACCAGTGCCTAGGTCCCGGGGGATTGGCATGCTCCATCGCAGAGCCCCTCCGATCTGAAGGCCGCACCGGGGCCTAGGGCGCCAAACCTCCTCCCAATAAATACTCAAAAGCTTCTTGTTTCACGTCTCTCCAAATTGAAATGAAGCAGTCCTTCCTCATTGACTGAAAGAAAATGTTCATTGTCATTCTTAGTCCAGTCTTATTATCGACTCTTTCTCGTTTTAGCTTTGGGATCCATGTGTACTTACAGTCTATGATGCACACACGCCGGTTTGTTTACAACAGCGGCCGCATGGGGCGGGGCCGCGTGACCGCGCGTCATAGGATATGACGCACTACGTTGACAGAAATGTTGAAATTAAATATTACTTATACACATTTTTACAGCATTTAAAAACGTAAAGATTGTTTTTCCTTCTACAGAAACCACATTCAAACTAGAAATAAAATATAGCCCTCACACTCCATTTTCAGACATGTTTGAAAAGGCTCCAGGAGCCACTCCAGGAGCACTCAAGAGCCGCATGCGGCTCCGGAGCCGCGGGTTGCCGACCCCTGGTCTATAACGTCAGGCCCGAAAGAGGGGGTAGAGAGAAGACCATGCACAGAAATTCCCTTAAACCCTGTATTGGTCCTGTAAACGAAGCCACTGAGCGGACTCCAGAAACTCCCATAGAGCAGAATGTGCCTAACCAGTCCCCATACTATTTATTTTTAAACCCACCTGTAAACCCATCTGTAAACCCGCCAGCTCCGAGCCCACGGCGCTCGGGCAGATCAAACTTGGGACAGCCACCAGTACGTTTTAGACCAGACGAAGACTGAGGTGACAGGGACTGCCACCCTTAAAGTTTGGGGGGATGTCACAGGGTAGACGCACAGCGCACTTTGTTTTTATGCATGCTTTTATTTTGAAATGTGTTTTGTGTGCCGCACTGTGTGTTTTTACTTCCTGTTTTTTATCCTCACACCTGTGGCAGCTTCCACTGATTTTAAAAAATGGACATAGACACTGGGGGCTGGAGCCAATGAGAAAAGGGTTTTTAAACAGACTATGGGGGAGGAAGAAGACAGGAGGACACCGGACTGGGCCAAAGGAGGGGCACCGCCAGCCAGAGACCACGGGGGACTGAGGCCAGCGGGGAGAGCGGCACCGGTGATGGGCGCGCATTGAAAGCGCAGAGAGGCGTGTGTGCACCGGGCTAGGCCCAACATCATGAATGGAATGTGCCCGCTCTCCCCTGCGTGTGCCCAGTGGCAACCTGTGGGCGGCAAGTGGCTGGCGAGACTGCGGCCCCGTCCCGGGAAGAGAGAGAGAACACAGGTTGACGACAGGGCGTCTTGGGCGACCGAGGAGAGGAGGCAATGGAGAACGGCAGCAGCAGTCAGCAGTACCTGCACAGGACCCACGGAAAGCCAGAGCGCGACGCGGACTACACGCAGCGGGCAGAGTCTCTCTGCCCGTGCCTGTAAGTAACCTTGTAGTGCTCTGGTCGGGCATACGGCTGCTGCTGGCCGATAGAAATCTGTTTTTAAGGAGTTTTACTGTGGGAGACCCGTTTTTGTTTCAGGGGAGGGGCCTGGCCAGCCATTCCCTCGTGTGGAGCCAGAGCACGACGTGACATCACCGCAGCGGGCAGAGTTTCTCTGCCCGTGCACGTAAGTGACCTTTAGTGCTCTGGCCGGGATTCATCCCACTTTTAACCTACAGATTTCTATTTTTAAAAAGAACGTTTTACTGCCTCCTGCTCCTCTGGTTTTAGGTCTGCTGCCTTGGGAACGTGGAGTTGCCCCTGTCCTTACTGGACTTTTAGCTGGACTTTGCCTTTATATTTTTTAGTATTTTATTCTGTAATTTTATTTGTAATAAATTGTTTTATCCCTTTTAAAACTCTGGTTTTTACACTGCTCACCTTGTTTTTAAGAACCTTCCTTTATTGAGTCCTAGTCTCATTTTTAAAACTAGGTGGCGTTGCTTTCCCTTTTATATGCTACTCGGCCACAGATACTCAGTTGGGCTCTGCCTCCTCTGCACCATCGACCCGGTCTGCTTCTCCAGCTCCATCCTCAAACAATCCTCCCTCTTCACCAACCCCGTCCTCTTCATCCTCTCGCCATAACACCCCTACCCCCAGAAAAAGGAAGAGGACAGATAGCCAGAGGATTTTGGACTTTCTCCAAGCAGAGTCGGACAAGGAACAGAGAAGACACGAGGAGTCAGAGGAGAAGACTTTGCGCTTTTTAAGTCTCTTCGAGAGGATGGTGGAAAAGCTGTAGCCTGCTGCTGTGTGGCTGTTTGGGAAAACATGTCTGTTCATATTGTACATATGACATTTTATTAGAGTGTTTTAAAAAAAAAAAATCTCAGTAGTGACTGTGTGTGTGTTGATGTTATACTGAATGAAATACTGAAACTTAAAGTTAGGATCTTGGGAAAGGTTATAAAGAAAAGGTCATCCATTGTTCGTTAAATCATTTTATTGAAAGAATTTACTTTACATTTAAGGGTCTTCATTGAACAATACAGCGAGCCTGTCCCTTATTGCAGTCCTTGCCCTTTCATATTCCTCAGCAGCTTCATGGAGAGGAAGTTCCGGGTCCAGGATGTCTGTTGCATCACTATCAGGTTCCAGGACGTCTCCGTTGTCTAGACATACATTGTGCAGAAAGGCACACGATGCTATAACCTGTGGTGCAAATGTAGGCTTGACCTCCAGGGCTCTGAACAGGGTTGACCTCCAGCGAGTCTTCATAATCCCAAATGCTCTCTCCACAATAGAACGGGCTCTTGACAGATGGTAGTTGAATTTCCTTTGGGCCCGGCCGTTCACTGGCTCTCGGTATGGAGTAATAAGGGCGATTGGTCCCTCCAAACAAGGATACCCACCATCTCCCAGAATGAAGTACCCCGTAGGTGGGTACCTTCTTGCAAGGTAAAACGAGCTGTTCTTCAGAATGCGCGTGTCATGCACACAACCTGGATAGCCCACAAAAATGTCTAGGAATTTTCCTGTGTGATCACAAATAGCTTGCATTTGTATTGAGTAGAAACCCTTGTAATTTAGATAGTCCAGACGATGGAGTGATGGGGGCTTTATGCGAACATGACAACCATCAATGGCTCCAACAGCTTTGTTTAGTAGAGGTGTTCCAGCAAGCTCGGCAAAGCCGTTACTCACTGCATCAATGTCAGCCATCTTTGGAAAACTGATTGCTCGGTGTAGATTGTTCCAAATGAACTGTGCTACCCTATGGACAACCCTGTGGACAGTAGACCTAGGAATACTGAACACTCTGGACACAACACGGTAGGATAGTCCATGGGCAAGCCAGTATACATATATGAGGACCTCATATTCATTGCCCCAACCATGATCTTGCGCTCTCCTCATTACACGTTGCAGCGAATGCATGGCCTGCCTGGACAGTCTGAAGTCAGGTTTTGTGTCCAATTCGACGTCCAACCACAAGCGTAGAATAGGCACAACCACATTGACTTTACAGTACGTTGCTGGACGGTCACTCTGAAAAACAAAGAGCAAAAAAATATATAGCATGAGTGATGGCCTAAGAGTACAAATTCCCCTCATGAAAGCAGTGATGTGACATTAACAATACAAACTATACATGCAAAGGCATTACAGTACTTCATATAATATTTTCCGCAATATAAATAGTTCTCAATATACTACTGTGACTCAAGATTTCAGTGAAAGGAAAGTAGAACCAGTGTAGCCAATGCTACACCGCTTTGTTTTTGCGTTTGTGATACACGTGTTTAGTACATACTTATTTAAACAGCGATGAATATTTCATGGTTAGACGTTTGGACATATGGATGTAACTTTTGATCTTTGTATCGTTTGTAGGTCGTCTTGTTTTAGACACAGTTTTGGTACGATAGTTAGTAATGTTGCAGCCATAGACTGTATATATATGCAGTCGGGCAAAGCCGCGCCATTATGAAAGAAAACAACATACCTGAAACATCCGGGCAAGCGCAACCATACGTCGAAGTCTCATCCTACGTCTGTTGCTTCTCCGTGTACTTTGCGAACAAAGAAAAAGCATCATAGCCCACAAAACAGGCAGAAGCTCCGCTGGACCCGGCATTTTTTTAATTTTATTTTTTTTTTTACTTCCGCCTCCGTCGAGCAAAGACGTGTCTCAGACGCTCCTGCTTCTGACTGCTTGCTATCTCCTGTTTTTGTCTTTTTCCTGGAGTTTTGCCACAGACAACTTTAACAAGAATGGAAATGATTAACTGGTCCCTCAACGCAATTGATTCTATCTTTTCAACACGTAAGCGTGGGTCTGGAGAGCCCGTGTGCCCGGACGGGACTTCACCAGCGGGGTATACTCTTGACAGCTGGAACAAGTTTCAGCCCCTCTGTCTGTCGACCCTGTCCATTGAAGATTCGGAAGACGTATATATCTTTGGCATTTTGGTGGTGGGAATCCTCCTGTTTGGGCTTGGAGCGATTCTCTTCTACCACAAATTCGGAGGCATGGCAGTTCGCAAGATTCACGACCTGCTGGCCGACAAAATTGATGGGATGTACAAGGAGCTTTGCCGCGTCGTGGTTGAGAGTGCCGTGTCTGGACAAAGGAGAGTGGTTTTGGTGGAACAGTTGATAAAAGATCTCGCAGCTCGTTCACTCGATGGACATAAAACTCTGGAGTTGAGATTGAATGACATTGTGTGTCAGGCTTGAACTCTCTGACCCGGCTTGGATTTGCCCCTGTGTACGGGGTCTGAGGGCGCCGCAATTCGGTTTAATTGGATTTAATAGAATATCTGCCTGACATTGCATTTAATATTGTCCCCCTGAGGCGATGTGTTTTTCTCCTCCTGTGCCTTCTCTCCACTCTTATCTCACATTCCTCGGGCCAAGGCCATAATAACAAAGGTCCCATCTACAACAACTCACACTATTTCAGTCTCCAGCTTGGATCCCCTACCCCCGCCTCCCTCGATCCATCTTGCTCCCTCCCTCCCCTCCACTCCTCACTGTGTTTCCGACTCACCCCCTCCCTGACCCCGCCCCCCTCTGACAGCCACATTGGGCCGGCTGTAGGAGGTGCTTCATCCCGAGAAAAAATCCGTGCTTTATACAAAGCACAAATGTGTCTATCCAACTGTCTGTGAAACTGTATGTTATTGCTCTCTGCTGTTTATTCTACTGTTTGTCGCATGGCGCCGTAAAGATGGCGCCGTGGCAAGAGCTCTGGTGTGTGTCGTCTTCTCTGTCTGGTGCACACCGGGGTAGTCTTGCACAGTTTTCCAATGTGGTTTTACTGCAAATGGCAAATAAATGATTCTGATTCTGATTCTGAACAGCAGTACTTCTCCGGTCTTACCTCCCCTATGAAGAAATATGTATTACCGCCACCTATTGGACTGGGGTGAAATCCGAAAAATGTACATTGCGTGTGACGTAGTGGACGCTCATTTGCATAAAAGGGTGTCCCAATACTTAGGGAGAGTTGAGTGCACCCTCCACTTGCACTCGCACTTGCACTCACACTTGCACTTGCACTTAAGGGCAAGGGGGAGAATTGGGACGGGCCCTTAGCGAAACACAAGAGGAGTCTACGGAGGAGACTGTTTTTACTTTTTAAAGCTCGACTAGGTATATCCTCATAGAGGATTACTTATCAAACTATTATCTGCACATGAAAATGAATGTGGTCTGAAGTGAAGTGGTGTATTGAGTTCATTTATAAGGTAAGGCCCAAAAAAACGTTTAAAATGGCTCTTTACACATTTTGTTTGAGCAAACAATTCGGACACAAAACATATTCCGCTGTAGCCAAAGAAATTGTGAATAAGCGGCTCTGTAGGTCCTGTAGATAAAACCTATATGATATACAGTGGGGTAAAAAAGTATTTAGTCAGCCACCGATTGTGCAAGTTTTCCCACTTAAAATAAAGACAGAGGTCCCAGCTCTCTGCAGGTCGTTCACCAGGTCCCCCCGTGTGGTTCTGGGATTTTTGATCACCGTTCTCATGATCATTTTGACCCCATGGGAGGAGATCTTGCGTGCAGCCCCAGATCGAGGGAGATTATCAGTGGTTGAAATATAGTTTTGGGCAACATTTGGGTTATCTTTTATACAGATAAATAGTTCAAACAGGTGCCATTAATTAGGTAACAGATGGAGGACAGAAGAGCTTCTTAAAGAAGAAGTTACAGGTCTGTGAGAGCCAGAGATTTTCCATGTTTGAAGTGACCAAATAATTATTTTCCATCAGAATTTACAAATAAATTCTTTAAAAATCCTACAATGTGAATTCCTGGATTTTTTTTTTCACATTCTGTCTCTCACAGTTGAAGTGTACTTATAATGAAAATTACAGACCACTGTCATTATTTTAAGTGGGAGAACTGGCACAATCGGTGGCTGACTTAATACTTTTTTGCCCCACTGTATATAGTTCATCTGAGTGGGGTGAAGTCAGTACCTCACCCATCACTAACCTCACCGTCACTGATAGCATTGCAGGATAGGACGGGGCCAAATGAACAGGCTTACATATATTACAGCATGATGTGGTCTGAACAGAATATCTGTTGGAATAATCCTAATATACTAGATATGAAACAAACAAAAGTGTAGGTACAACAGTTTTCAAGTAAATTAACGAAGCTATATTTACATACAAGAAGAGTCAGAGGCCAAAATAAAGACATGTAAAAAGTAGTCATGGAACTTTACTGTTTTGAGAGCGAGGAACAAGTTATATGGAGCATAAAACATCTTCTCTTCTCATAAGATCTCATTGTCTTATGAGTGCCTCAAGTTTTCATTACGAGGTCAACACATCTGTTGCTAGGGTCGTCTGTTGCTATGTGCATCTTTTAAAACAGTGCATCTTTTGAACCAGAGCACATTTGCAAAACTTTGGCTGTGACACCAATTGTTTTTGTCAAACTTCATTCGAGGATTTCTTACACCAGGAGAGATCACTGCTGACCAGTGACACTCAGACCGCTGCTGACACCTGCTGACCACCTGCTGACCCCTTCTGTCCGGACTGTGAGACTGTGAGACTGTTGACCACAAAACGTGAGCTTTTCCACTTTCCCTGTTCTGTCCCTGTGTGTTTGGCCTGTTACTCAGACACACAGTGACTTGGATCAAAGTTAAATCAGGTTTATGTGACTTTAGACACACGAGGAACAACATTTAACAACATTTATTCACATCTACTTACATTTATGGACATTGGTCGTCCGCCCCTTATGGACCAATGGTTCTATGTGTTTTTTGTCATTGCATTTGCTGTGTTTGAACTGTTTGATTCTCTGATCTGTGTTGGCGAATCCACAACTGTGTAAAGTCCTCAGAGATAACTACTGTTGTGATTTAGGGAGAAACAAAAACACATTGAAGGGAAATGAATTGAGTATTAGTGATGTTGGTGCTGTCAGCTCCTGCAGGTGCATCATAAAGTATCAATGAAACAATAATGAACCAAAGTGTAAAGTACATGAAACCACAGCCTGCAGCTGGAACAACCATTACACTCATTTAAAGCTGGGATACCTAACTTTCAAACCACAATATATGGACCTATGGAACAAAATCCAAGTTTCTGTCTATAAAACAGTTTGGTACCAACACTAGTTTTCACAAGCATGTTTTCTTGGCCTCTGTCACAACTTTAGATCAGCTTTTTCAGACAGTAATGTGAAAAGATAGAACCAACCTCACTCTGCCAATGAGCTCTCAGCCCTGAGAGTCAAATAGTGACTCATGGGGTTCTTTCTTACAAGTATGAGCCTTATTATAAGATGTATAACACCACATTTTGGTCTGAACAGATTTTCAGTTAAGAAGGTATTAGTTATGAAACAAACAACAGTATAGGTACCTCGGCTTTTAAGGTAATTTAACTGACATACTTTTACAGACAGGATAAAAACTTGAGATAGAAATGTACTGCTTTGAAAGTGAGGAACTTATTATATTGACCTACATAGTTTCATATATTGTGTTTTGAAAGTTAGGTACCCCAGCTTTAACTCATGAGTTAGACTGACAGGTTCTTTATGACTCCAGAGTCTTAATCCAAGCTTATTCCTGTACTTTTAGCTTGTTTTATTAATGTACTTGTCTGGTGCATACTGGAGACTTTTGCACATGTATTCCAATGTGTTTTGACAATAAATGGGCAAAGAACAATTATCTGAAAGAGTGAATATATTCTCAGAAAACAATGAAATGAAGAATGTAGTGAAATGTTTGCAGTGATGTTTGACATGTCCTGTTCCTCCACAGATCCTTGTGCTCCTTCTCCATAAAAACCTGTGGACAGGACTCTGCCTTTAAGCTAAGTCCTCACTCTCTGACACTATGCCTGGCTCCTCTGCTAGCTTCTCTCTGTCCGGGAGGACCTCTCTCTACTCCTCTTCTTCTCTCCCCCCTCGCCCTTCTGTTCCTCCTCCTCCTCCTCCTCCTCCTTCTCCTCCTCCTGCTAAGGGTAAGTCTAAGTCTAAGTCTCGCTCTGCTCCCAAGCGCCCTAAACCTTACTCTGCTCCTGCTGTTCCGCGCTTGGTCCCTGTGTCTTGGCTCCGCACTGTTCACCCTGGCAGGATCCTCTCTCGTCCTCCTCCCTCTGCTTATTCTACTCCTTCTCAGCGCTCCTCTCGCTCTCCTCCTTGTCCTCCTCCTCGCTCTGCTCCTCCTATGCCCTCCTCTGCCCCTCCTCCTCCCGGGCGTCTTCATCTCACCTCTCTGACTGACTCTTGGTTCGCTCCTCTTCCATGTGTCCGGAAAGTTCCCAGACGCACTCCTCCTGCTAAACCTGCTAAATCTAACTCTGTCCCTATTGCCCCGCAGTCTGAGCCCACCCCTGCCATCCCTGGACCCTCCTCCGCCCGGGCAGAGTCTGAGAAGGTGCAGAAGCACAAGCGCAAAAGGTCACGTGAGCCGGACGCCAAACATCCACCCAAAAAGTCTTGTTAAGAACTGATGCACTCTCTGCTTTGTTTCTTTTAAGGAGCAGAGAGGAACTGGGGCTCACAAGACCGTGTCCCGGTGATGGGTGATGTATGACTGTAAATATGTTCATAGTTGGATCCCAGTTTGATCCCTTTAAAAAACACAAAAAAACCACACAAAAAATATTACGTTTGTTGTTGATCTTTTGAAGGATACACGTTTGATCCTTTATATAGGCATTTTATTGTTAATATTGTTGTGCTACTGTTGTCAATCCCGTTGGATTCCTTAAAACACAAAAAAATGTATATGTTTGTTTGTACCATAAATGGACAGGTTCTGTGTGTTACTGTATTATTTTTGTTGTGTTGCAAGTGGTCAGATTTCTGTTCGATCCCTTTAAAAAACACAAAAGAGACTTTAACCAGTCAAGATGCAGAAACTGCTGCCAGTGGTTAGAAATTAGAACAGGAGCCTCTGAAGACACAACATTAGGCTTTATCCATCTCAGCACGTCCAATATACTCTACACCCAGCGGCTACACCACCTCTGCTGCTTTGACCTGTCCTCCTCCACCCAGCGGCTGCACCACCTCTGCTGCTGTGATCTGTCCTCCTCCACCCAGCGGCTACACCACCTCTGCTGCTGTGATCTGTCCTCCTCCACCCAGCGGCTACACCACCTCTGCTGCTGTGACCTGTCCTCCTCCACCCAGCGGTTACACCACCTCTGCTGCTGTGATCTGTCCTCCTCCACCCAGCGGCTACACCACCTCTGCTGCTGTGACCTGTACTCCTCCACCCAGCGTCTACACCACCTCTGCTGCTGTGACCTGTCCTCCTCCACCCAGCGGCTGCACCACCTCTGCTGCTGTGACCTGTCCTCCTCCACCCAGTAGCTACACCACCTCTGCTGCTGTGACCTGTCCTCCTACACCCATCGGCTTCCCCACCTCTGCTTCTGTGACCTGTCCTCCTCCACCCAGTAGCTACACCACCTCTGCTGCTGTGATCTGTCCTCCTCCACCCAGTAGCTACTCCACCTCTGCTGCTGGGACCTGTCCGGAGCCACCCAGTAGCTACACCACCTCTGCTGCTGTGACCTGTCCTCCTCCACCCAGTAGCTACACCACCTCTGCTGCTGTGACCTGTCCTCCTCCACCCAGCGGCTACACCACCTCTGCTGCTGTGACCTGTCCTCCTCCACCCAGTAGCTACACCACCTCTGCTACTGTGACCTAGAGTGCTGTTGCATATTAGTGACTTTGTTTGCTACTTTTAGAACTATGTATGTGTCTTTTTTATGGATGGTTGTGTCTATCTATCTATAGCTTTGATTCACAGGTTTGCTCTGTAGGGATGAAAAGGTAAGTATACAGGAGGTTAAATACCTCTAGTAACTGTCACATTACTTTATGAGACTTTCTCTGTTTTAGATCAAAAGGAGAAGTAAAACATTGAAAATGGCCCAATCAGGAAATATACTGTGCAGGTATAGTATAAAGTTATGTCTGCACACGTGATAAAGTCCAGTACATTTATTTGCTTGTTTTTCATGAGCAGAGAGGAGGAACAGATGAGTTCAGACAGTGGAGAGACGGAGTGGAGGAGGAGGGTTATATCCATGTGTTCAAATAAAAAAACAGGTAAATCATTGTATGAACGTTCCATTTGTCCCTTGAAGTGTGCGTCACTTCATGTATTATCGTATTATTTATAGGACACAGCAGTGATCAGAGCAGATTCATGTCAGATGCCATTTATGTCAAAGCAGATGCTACAAATGCTTCTAGTTGTTGCAACAGGTGCCACAGATGAGCTGTAGCTCTAGCAGCGGCCGCCACAAAAATGAGTCTGTCATTTCTGTATCCCAGCGTGTCCAAGTTTCTTATATAATATATAATGAGTACTGCCTATATGTGGTATTCAACTTTGATTCACAGGTTTCTTCCATCTATGTTTTCTCATTGAGCTTAAAAAGAGGAACAAGGACAAACAATGTGAGTATAGTTTAAGTCAGGTTGTTATCAAATTACTTTACAAGACTGCTTTGTTTTAGATGAATGTGATGAAGAGCTGACAATTTATGTGTCTGTTACTTTTTGACCAGTGAGGAGTTCAGACAGTGGAGAGGCAGAGTGGAGGAGGAGGGTTATACACGTGTTCACATTGAATACAGGTAAATATTCATATGAACATTCCTTGTGTCCCTCCTCCAACTTCAATGCATTGTTGTCTTATTCAGGACAGATAGCAGTGTCCAGGTGTCACATAAATATTAAAAACATATAACAGATATGATGCCGCAGAGCAGAACCAATACTTTTGTCAGAGGAAAAACTAGAAGATAAAATGAAACGGAAAGTGCCAGAACAGATGCCACAGAGCAGCTGTGAGACCGACAGAAGTGACCAGAGCCATGTAAGACAGTGGAGGGACAGAGTGGAGGAGGAGGGTTCAGCCCATGTGTTTCTATCACATACAGGTAAATCATAAATCATGTGTAGTTTTGTGTGTCCCTCCTCTCATTGTATTTATGTACTTTTCATTAGGACACATCAGATGCCAGCCAACGTCCAAGAAAAAGGCCAGATGACAGACCACATGTGGAAAAATATGAAAGATCCCTGACCAGAATCAAAACACATGCCATTTCAGATGCTACAAATCTGACAGATGCCAGTCAAACCTGCTTTTCCTGCTAAATCTGCTAAATCTAACTCTGTTCCTATTGCCCCGCAGTCTGAGCCCTCCCCTGCCATCCCTGGACCCTCCTCGGCCTGAGCGGTGTCTGAGAAGGCCCAGCAGCACAAGCATAAAAGCTCACGTGAGCCGGACGCCAAACATCCACAGAAAAAGCACAAGTCTTGTTAAGAACTGGTGCATTCTCTGCTTTGTTTCTTTTAAGGAGCAGAGAGGAACTGGGGCTCACAAGACCGTGTCCTGGTGATGGGTGATGTATGACTTTGTAGATATGTGCATAGTTGGATCCCAGTTTGATCCCTTTAAAAAAAGACAAAAAAGCACACACAAATAATGTTGCATTTGTTGTTTTTATCTTTTACCTGATCCACGTTTGATCTTTTATATAGGTTACTTTTTTTACTGTTTTTGCCGGATTCACGTTTGATCCTTTACATAGGTTACTTTTGTTACTGTAATAAGTGTTGTGTTCCCATTGTCAATCCCGTCGGATTCCTTAAAAAAACAAAAATATATATGTTTGTTTTGTACCATTAAATGGACAGGGTATCTCTGTTACTGTAATTATAATGATGTGTTTCAAGTGGTCGGATCTCTGTTCGATCCCTTTGGGAAAAAAAACACAAAAGAGACCTAAAAAACATGCTCTGTTTTAGATAAAAAGGAGTAAAACATTGAAAATGGCCCACTCAGGAAATATACACTCTGCAGGTACAGCCTTTACTTATGTCTACACATGTGATGAAGTCCAGTGAACACGTGTTTTTGTTTTTTCTGGCCAGTGAGTGGAAACAGATGAGTTCAGACAGTGGAGAGATGGAGTGGAGGAGGAGGGCTATTATCCATGTGTTCAAATCAAATACCAGGTAAATACTTGTATGTACATTCCATTTGTCCTTTGAAGTGTACGTGACTTCATGCATTATTATTTTTAAGACACAGCAGTGGCCAGAGAAGAGAGACAAAACATGTGTAATTTGATGACACAAAAATTAGCCTTTAATTTCTATATCCCAGCGTGTCCAAGTTACTTATATCATGTCTAAATGGTTTCTACACACTTGTAATTTACTGCCTGTATGTGGTATTCAACTTTCATTCACAGGTTTCTTCCAGCCATGTTTTCTCATTGAGATTAAAAAGAGGAACAAGGACAAACAATGTGAGTATAGTTTAAGTCAGGTTGTTATCAAATTACTTTACACGACTGTTTTAGATGAATGTGATGAAGAGCTGATAATTCATGTGTCTGTCATTTTTTGGTGGAACAGATGAGTTCAGATAGTGGAGAGGCAGAGTGGAGGAGGAGGTATTGAATACAGGTAAATATTCATATGAACATTCCTTGTGTCCCTCCTCCCACTTCAATGCATTGTTGTCTTATTCAGGAGAGACAGCAGTGTCCAGGTGTCACCAAAAATGTTAAAACATATAACAGATAAAACGTCACAGAGCAGATGCAATAATTATGCCAGAGAGAAAACCAGAAGATATGGAAAGTGCCAGACCAGAAGCCACAGAGCAGCTGTGAGACTGACAGAAGTGACCAGAGCCATGTAAGACAGTGGAGAGACAGAGTGGAGGAGGAGGGTTCAGCCCCATGTGTCTGTATCACATCCAGGTATGATTATACTATGTGCAGTTTTGTGTTTCCCTCCTCTTCATTGTCGTTTTGTACTTTTCATTAGGACATATCAGATGCCAGGCAAGGTCCCAGAAAAATGCCAAATGCCAGACCAGAAGTTGGAAAAAAATAAGAGATCCCTGACCAGAATCAAGACACATGCCATTTCAGATGCTAAAAATCTGACAGATGCCAGAAAAGACTCTACATAGGTGACATATGCCATAACAGATTCTAGTCTGGACAACACAAAACATGCGCTAGAGCAGAAGCCATAAAAGTCCAGACGGAAAACCAGATGCCAAAAAAGACCATTTGCAAGAACTGGTGTTAGACCAGATGTCAGTAAAACGTCAGGCATCAGATGCACCAAAGGCCAGAAGGAAGACCCAGATGTTACTTAAAATATTTGCCCCATCAGAAGTAAATATTTACTAGACTAGATGTCACAAGAAAAAGACCAGCTGTGAGACAGATGGAAGTGACCAGAGCAGTGTGAGACAGTGGAGAGACAGAGTTGTTCACATCAATTACAGGTAAATCACCATGTGTGCCGTTTTGTGTGTCCCTCATCCTCTTCATTGCCATTTTGTCTAATTCATAGGACACAGCAGATACCAGAAACGGTCCCAGAAAAAATACCTGACTGGATGTTGCAAAACATGAAAGATCCCAGACCAAATGTTAAAAACATACT